TGTGTGTGTGTGTGTGTGTGTGTATCTATTTATGTTATATCTGTGTTCTTTATACAGAAAAAGAGTATAAAAAAGAACTTTTTGCCTCCAAGAACTAATATTTCCTGCCTTGGAAGGACTGTCACTGCCATTGAGAATGTGTGAGTTAGAATAACACATTTGAGCTTGCCAAGATCAAGGCTACTGAGAACAAATAGCAGTGCTTCCTTATGTAAAATTTATGTACATCTGGGCCAGGCGCAGTGGTCACACCTGTAACCCCAGCACTTTGGGAGGCCAGGGTGTGAGGATCACTTGAGCCAGGAGTTTGAGGCCAGCCTGAGCAACATAGTGAGACCCTGTCTCTACAAAAAATAAAAAAAAATTTTTTTAAAAATGTCTATATGTATATCCTGGTGTGGTGGCACAGGCCTGTGGTCCTGGTTACTTGGGAGGCTGAGTGGGGAACCATGTTCACACCACTGCACTCTAGCCGGGGCAATACTGAGACCTGTCTAAAAAAAAAATTGAGGTGTGTTTATATGGGAGGAATTCTGAGTAGTTTTTGTCACTGTATCATTATCAGGATGTTTGGCCTGTCTAGAAAAGCAAGGTGAGTGTGGCAGTCCTACCATATGTTAGAATTCTGAGGACAGAAAAAGCAAAAAGGCCAAAAATTAATGGGATATAAATTAGTAGAGTATATACAGAAGAGGTAAGATAGCTGGCTCACCAGCTTCTGAGCTAGTAAGACACCCTTTGAAACTTAATAATTAATTTTAGTTAATCCAAAATCTTTTGGATTCATCCATAAGAGGTTAAGCAGAAATTGATTCAAAATTGGACGGATACTATCACTAGTAAGAGAAGACAATTCTTGAGGGTTGTGTATCCTGGCCTCCAAATTACATATCCAGTGAAGTTTAAAAAAAAGTTGGAGGGGGTGGCTAGGTGTGGTGGCTAACACCTGTAATCCCAGCACTTTGAAAGGCTGACATGGGCGGATCACCTGAGGTCAGGAGTTCGAGACCAGCCTGGCTAACATGGCAAAACCCCACCTCTACTAAAAATATAAAAATTAGCCAGGCATGGTGTAGCATGCCTGTAATCCCAGCTACTTGGGAGGTTGAGGCATGAGAATCGCTTGAACCTGGGAGTCAGAGGTTGCAGTGAGCCAAGATCATGCTACTGCACTCCAGCCTGGGTGACACAGCGAGACTCTGTCCCCCATCTCAAAAAAGAATTAGATTCAAGTGTTTTTCAGGCTTTTATTTTTAAGCAGCATAATCTTTTTTTTTTCTTGAGATGGCGCCTCACTCTGTCACCCAGGCTGAGGTGCAGTGGCACAATCTCGGCTCACTACAACCTCCACTCCTGTGCTCAGGCAGATCCTCCTGCCTCAGCCTGCCAAGTAGCTGGGGTTACAGGTGTGTGTCACCACACCTGGTTAATTTTTGTATTTTTAGTAGAGACAGGGTTTTACATGTTGGGCACCTGCTCTCGAACTTCTGACCTCAAGTGATCTACCTGCCTTGGCCTCTCAAGGTGCAGGGATTACAGGCATGAGCCACTGTGCCCAGCCAAGGATATAATCTTTTTTTTTTTTTTTTTTTTTTAAGTCTTACTCCCATCACACAGGCTGGAGTGCAGTGGCACGATTTTGGTTCACTGCAACCTCCGTCTCCCAGGTTCATGTGATTCTCCTGCCTCAGCCTCCCGAGTAGTTGGGATTACAGGTGTGCACCACCATGCCCGGCTAATTTTTGTATTTTTAGTAGAGTCAGGGTTTTTCCGTGTTGACCAGACTGGTCTCAAACTCCTGACCTCAGGTGACCCACCCACCTCAGCCTCCCAAAGTACTAGGATTATAGGCGTAAGCCACCACGCCCGGCCAAGGGTGTAATCTTAACAAAGCAGAGAAAAACATAACTCAAGCAGGGACAAGGCCTGGAGCCTGTGCTGTCACCTCTCACTCCCAGCTTCTTGCTCCTACAGTGGGTCTAGCCGTGCCTCTGCAGTGGGGTTGGCAGATCTCAGATTGAAGGCTACTGGACTATGTTGGCCATGGGTCTTTGGGCCATCAGAAGGAAAAATTATTTTTTAATCCTGATGATCTTTTTACTTTGTAAGCCTTTCTTTTAAAATAGACATTTGTACAGCTCTACAAAGAGAGTAGTATTCCACATAATGTTTTGCCTGTAGAGATTACGCTTTTTCTTCTTAAAGTCAAAACATTATAAATAATAGCTAAATACTTTGTCTTCTAACAGAACTCTGAAGTCCTTGTTTCAGAAGCAACTAAAACAAGGCAAGTAAGATTTTGGTTTTCAGAACAGTTTTCTCCTTAGTGGTTATGGTTTACATGTTTTCACAGAGTCCCAGGATGAATTTATTTTATTCAGCTAGTTGACACAGGTTGAAACTCTAGTTCCGTTATTTTCACAGTATAATCAGCCTGTATGGAAATACAAATCTCCTGTCTTTTGTAAAATACTGCTCTTTTCTTTTTTTTTTTTTTTTAATTTTTCCCTTTGTGTTTGTAGGCTTTTTCTTCAGGAAATCCTGCACTTACCCCTAAACTTTGCTGACTACTTTGTCTTACTAGGTGCTGATTGGACATATCTCAAAGAAGATGAACAAACAAACTTTCCCTGAGCACTGTAGTTTGTGTAAAGAGATCTTGCCATTCACAGATCGCAAACAGGCAGTCTGTTCCAATGGCCACATTTGGCTCCGGTAAGCCATTTTAAACGTCCTACTTCTGCTCATTTTTCAGTCTTGTGTAGCTCAAACTACTGTAAAGCATTTATGCCAGTTATCTGTTGCCCTTGCCAATATTTTAGAGAAAAGCTGCTATTATAAAGCGTGATGTGGACTTTTTTCATCAGTATCACTGAAGCAAGTTGGCCCTTACAGACAGTTTTTTACTGTTTAGTATATAGGAGCTTTCTTATTTTGTTTGTTCAATTTCATAATGAAAGATGTCTGCTTCCTCTCCCTAGTCTCACTCCGAGATGTAACCTTGATGTGTCCTCGTGTTACTGGACCGTGGGCTGCGTTTGACACAATTGCTCCCTCCTTGCAGCACCTTCATCACCGGCCTTCCTGGACACAGTGCTCCCTGCTTTTCTTCCTGCCCCGGACTCTTCATTCTCAGTTGTCTTTGCTGATGGCTACCTCAGCTGTCCGTCTTTCCGCCTGTTGTTATTCTCTTAGCACTTTCCCTGGGCGGTTGCTTATCATCTGCACACTGGTGATTTAAACATAGAGCTTTTACCTGGATCTCTCCCCCAAAGTCTAGGCTTATACATCTCACTGCCTCCTCAGTGCCTCTCTTTGGATGTTTAATAGGCATTTGAAATTGGAATCCAACCTTTCATTACTACCTCTGCCTCTCCATCCCTGTCAAAACACCTTCATCTCTTGCCCTGGTTATGATACCTGAGGTTACTTTCCATCTGGTCTTCCCACTTCCATCCTTGCCCCTCCAGTCTCTTCTTATTATAGTCGTGATAGCGATCGTGTCAACATTTTGTCACTGGCTACCTGTTTCTCATGAGTAAAACTAAAACCCTCTTAGTGACCCACAATACTCTGTACAGCCTGGGGCCCCTTCTTCCCTTTGTCCTCCCGCTGACCTCCTCTGCTGTATTTCTCCATCTTGTTCCCTTCACTGCAGGCAGACTGGCTTCATTCCTCAGGTACATGAGGCACCCGCTCATCTCAGGACATCTGCACTGGCCAATTCCTCTACCTAGGATGCTCTTCCAGCAGATGTCCACATGGCTTCCTCCAATGGCCCTTTATCAGCTAGGCCTTCCTGGCCACCATACCTGAAATTGTGGCACCCCACTGACATACCTTCCCTCCCAGTATTTTGCATCCTTCTTCCTTTATTTTCTTCCTCAACAATTATCACTATTTAATATAATATTTTTTTCCTTGTCCTTCCTCTAGAATAGAAAGCTCTATGAGGAGAGGAACTTTTGTGTTGTGTTCACAGCTATTTCTAGAACAGTGCCTAGTACATGGTAGGCACTAAATTTAAATTGTTTTTTTTTTTTTTT